ACCCACTCTGAACTTATATGACCTGGAAAAATCAATAAAAGTAGGTAAATCAGGAGTAAAATTGATTTGGAAACAAAAAATAGGTTATTCTCCGTCCATCTTAATTTTTGAAGAACCGATTCTGACCTTGTAAGACCTTGGCAAATCGTTAAAAGTAGTTGAAACCCAAGTATTACCGATTAATGCCTTATAATTCAGGTTATTTTATGCCCTCATATTTTTTTATGGTCCTTTAAAATTAAAGGGTACCCCCTTAGTCATTCACTGTCCCTATCAATTTTTATTTATTTTATTTTGATCTTATATGACGTTAAAAAATTAATTAAAGTAGGTCAAACCTAAGTTTTATGGATTAAGGCCAAGAAAATATGGTTTCTCTATGCCCTTCAATTTTTGTATAGTCGTTAAAAATTACAGGATTCCTTCCAAGTCATATACTGACCCTCTGAATTTTTATTGAACCTATTTTGACGTTGTATGAACTGATAACTGATTAAACCTCGTTAAAAACCAAGTAGAATTGATTTATGCCCAAATAATTCGGTTTCTTTATGCCCTAAAATTTTTTATGGGCCTCAAAAATCAAAGGGTACCTTTTCAGTCATCCGCTGTCCCTCTCAATTGTTATTGAACCTATTTTGACCTTGTATGACCTTGAAAATAAAATGAAAGTAGGTCAAAAATAACTACAATTGATTGATGCCTAAAAAATCTGGTTTCTTGATGCCTTAAAATTTGTTAATGGCCCTTAACAATTACAGTACAATTCATGTGTCATTCTTTGTCCCTCTCGATATTTATTGAACCTATTCGGACTTTGAGAAATATAAAATAGTAGGTTAATCTCAAGTAATATTGATTTAGGCCCAAAAAATCAGTTTTTTTCATGCCCTTAAATTTTTTTATGGGCTTTTAAAATCACAGAGTACCTCCTTAGTCATCTTTCGTCCCTCTGAATTTTTAATGAACCTATTTTGACGGTGCATGACCTTCAAATATAAAAAAAAGTATGTCAAACTAAAAGATAATAGATATAGGCCCAAAAAATCAGGTATCTTAAAGGCCTGAAATTTTTTTATGGTCTAATAAAATAACAGAGTAGCTCCTGAGTTATCCTCTTTCCCTCTTTCAATTTGTTGAGCCTATTTTCGCCTTGTAAAGCCTTGAAAAATTGATGAAAGTAGGTCACACCTATGGTTTATGTATTAAGGCCAACATTATATGGTTTCTCTTTGCCCTTCAATTTTTTTATATTTCTCATTAATGACAGCGTTCCTCCTTAGTCATTTACTGACCATCTAAATTTTATTCAATCCCATTTTGACCTTGTAAAACTTCGAAAAATTAATTAAAGTAGTTGAAAAACAAGTACAATTTATTGAGGACCAAAAAATCAGGTTTCTTTATGCCTTAAAATTTTTTTATGGCCCCTTAAAAATTACATAGCATCCCCTGTGTCATTTCTTATTCCTCTTAATAATCTTTGAACGTATTTTGACCTTGTGTAAAATTGAAAAATATAAATAAGTAGGTTACACTCAAGTAAAATTGATTTAGGCCTATAAAATCAGGCTTATTCATGCCCTTAGATCTTTTTATGGTCTTATAAAATTACAGGTTACCTCCTGAGTCATCTTCCGTCTCTATGAATTTTTGATGAACCTATTCTGATCTTGTATGACATTGAAAAATTAATAAGAGTAGATCAAACCCAAGTACAATTGATTTAGGCCCGAAAAATTAGGTTTCTTTATGGCCTCAAATTTTTTTATGGTCCTTAAAAATTAAAAGGTACCCCCAAAGTCATTTACTGTCCCTCTGAATTTTTATTGAACCTATTTTTATCGTGCGCGACGTTAAAAAATTAATTAAAGTAGATCAAACCTAAGTTTTATGGATTGAGGCCAATAAAATATGCTTTCTCTAAGCCATTTTATATATTTATAGTCCTTAAAACTAACAGGGTTTCTTCCAAATCATCCACTAAGCCTTTAAATTTTTAAAATACCTATTTTAACCTTGTATGACCTTGAAAAATTATTTAAGGTAGGTCAAATCCAAGTACAATTGATTGAGGCCCAAAAAATCAGGTTTCTTGATTTCTTAAAATTTTTTTATGGCGCCTAAAAAAAACAGGGCACCTCCTGTGTCATTTTTCATCCCTCTTAATATTCATTAAACGTATTTTGACAATGTGTGACTCTAAAAAATATAATAAAGTAGATCAATCTCAAATAATATTGATTTAGTCCTAAGAAATCAGGTATATTCATGCCCTTAAATGTTTTTTTAGTCTTATGGAATTACAATGTACCTTCTCAATCAATCTCCGTCCCTCTGAATTCTTGATAAAACAATTCTGACCTTGTAGGACGTTGAAAAATTAATAAATAACGGCCAAACCCAAGTATTATCGATTTCTGCCCAAAAAATCAGGTTTCTATATGCCCTTAAATTTTTTTATAGTCCTTGAAAATTACGGAGAACCACCTGAGACCATTTTACGTCCCTGTCGATATTTATTAAACCTGTTTTGACCTTGAATGACATAAAAAAATTAATTAAAGTAGGTAAAACATAAGATTTATAGATTAAGGCCAAGAAAATATGGTTTCTCTATGCCGTTCAATTTTTTTATAGTTTTCAACAATCACAGCATTCCTTCTAGGTCATTGACTGACCCTTTAGATTTTATATTAAACCTATTTTGACCTTGTATGATCTTACAAAATTAATTAAAGTAGTTGAAAACCTAGTACAATTTATTGAGGGCCAAAAAATCAGGTTTCTTGATGCCTCAAAATCTTTTTATGGCCCCTTGAAAATTACAGGGCATCTCTTGTGTCATTTTTTATCCCTAATAATAGTTATTGAACGCATTATGACCTTGTGTGACTTTGAAAAATATAAAAAAGTAGGTCAAACTCAAGTAAAATTGATTTAGGCCCAAGAAATCCAGTTTCTGTAGGCCCTAAAATTATTTATGTGCTTTAAAAATTAAAGGGAACCTTATCAGTCATCCGCTGTCCCTCTAAATTAATATTGAACCTATTTTGACCTTGTATGACCTTGAAAATTTAATAAAAGTAGGTCAAAAATAACTACAATTGATTGATGCCCAAAAAATCAGGTTTCTTGATGCCTTAAACTTTGTTAATGGCCCTCAACAATTACAGTACAATTTCTGTGTCATCCTTCGTCCTTCTCAATATTTATTGAACCTATTCGGACCTTGAGAAATATAATAAAGTAGGTCAAACTAAAGTAAAATTGATTTAGGCCAAAAAAATCAGTTTTTTTCATGCCCTTAAATTTTTTTTGGGCTTTTAAAATAACTTGGTACCTCCTGAGTCATCTTTTGTCTCTCTTAATTTTTAATGAACCTATTTTGAAGGTGCATGACCTTCAAATATACAAAAAAGTATGTCAAACTGAAGGATAATGGCTCATATGGAAATAGGCTCATAAAATCAGGTATCTTTAAGCCCTGAAATTTTTTTGTGGTCTAATGAAATTACAGAGTACTTCCTGAGTTATCGTCTTTCCCTCCTTGAATTTATTGAGCCTATTTTAGCCTTGTGAAGCCTTGAAAAATTGAAGAGAGTAGGTCAAACCTAAGTTTTATGTATTAAGGCCAAAATTATATGGTTTCTCTATGCCCTTCAATTCTTTTATAGTCCTCAAAAATGAAAGCGTTCCTCCTAAGTCAGTCACTGATACTCTAAATCTTTATCAAACATATTTTTACTTTGCAAGAAATTGAAAAATTAATTAAAGTAGTTGAAAAACAAGTTTAATTGATTGAGGCCCAAAAAATTAGGTTTATCGATTCCCTAATTTTTTTTTATAGTTCTTAAAAATAAAGGCCACCTCCCGTGTTATTTCTCATTCCTCTTAAAATTTTTTGAACGTATATAGAATTTGTGTGACTGAAAATTATAAAAACGTAGGTCAAACTCAAGTAAAATCGAATTATGCCTAAAAAATCAGGTTTCTTTATGCCCTCAAATTTTTTTATGGCACTTAAAAAAATACAGGGCACCTCCTGTGTCATATTTTACGGCCTTGATATTCATTGAACGTAATTTGACCTTGTGTGACTTCGAAAAATATAGAAACGTACGTCAAACTCAAGTAAAATTGATTTATTCCCAAAAAATCAGGTTAATTTATGCCCTCAAATTTTTTTAGGGTCTTATAAAATCACAGGGTACCTCCAACGACATCCTTCGTCCCTCTAAGTTTTTGAAGAACACACTCTGACCTTGTATGACTTTGAAAAATCAATAAAAGTAGGTAAATCACGAGTAAAATTGGTTTGGTCACAAATAATCAGGTTTTTTTATGCCCTCAAAATTTTTTCTGGTCTCATAAAATTACTATGTACCTCCTGAGTTATCCTCTGTCCATCTTGATTTTTGATGAACCTATTCCGACCTTGTAAGACCTTGTAAGACCTTGACCAATCGATAAAAGTAGGTGAGACCGAAGTATCCCCCACGGAAAAAATATATATGTCAGGATATATCTGAGGATATATGCTTGAGGATATATGTCCACATATATGTCACATACACTTTTTTTCGCCTCCGCATATATGCGTGGTATATATGCTTGCTCATATATATGTGAGATATATGCAAAAGATATATATCTATAACATATATGTTGGATATATGTGCGCATATATCCGGATATATGCGCACGTAAATCGGCATCGCGGGATAGATATAAAACACAATTATTTTCTACCAATTATTAAATAATCATAATCTTTTATTGTATGACTTTAAGAAACTATTTAAATAATAATCATAACAATATAAATCAGAAATTTATATAAAATAGAAACTTGTAAGGTATAACATTAAAGCTGTTTAAATAAACAATTTGAAAAATGAAACTACTTTAAGTGAAAATGTAAAATTACAAAGTGTAAGTTGTAATAAAAAATGAAAAATTTTAATCATTATTAACTTTTAAATGATTTTGTGAATCTTTTAGCTATCACTAGGTTTATTTTCCTTGGTGTCTTTTGGAGGATCCTCAGTTTTAGGCTTCTTCTGTAATGTAAAATATATTTTAATTTTTATGCACTCGAAGTAAGTAAATTATTGTAATTTTTGTATTGTTATTATTACCTTTAATGCTTCTGACCGTAATTTGTTGCATTTTACGTTAATGCATTTACCAAACTCAGCCTGATTAAATTGTTTTTTAAATCGTTGCTGGACTGCTTCTGAAAGTATCAAATTATATTATTGTTTTCAATTTTGTATTGTATAAAATTAAGACAAAAAATACACTATCAAAAACCAATTAAAAATTATATTTTTAAGAAATGTAAGTTATCATACCTTTAATTGCTTTTAATTCATTAGTATTCTCCAGTCCAGTGTGTATAACGGTCTTATCTATTGCATTTTTGGGTGGTCCACCTTTGTAGTTGCTTTTAATCAACTGATCTGTAGGAAATACCGAAACCAATAATGAAGTAGTCATAGCTGTAAATGATTTAGTCGCTTCAGCAGCTATCCATTGGTCAGAGGTAACGAAAACATTACTCCCAGGTTGACCTAATTCAATCTATAATTAAAAAAAGTGAAATAATTATAAATCTTTTTATGATAATTTTTTTTTAGTGACCTTTAAATAATTAATAATTATAATTAGAAACTTAGATCAAATTAATATTTTTAGGTTGATTAAGTATTTGAATGAACGCCTGGCAATACAAATTTTAAGTAATAGTTATTTACCATGTTATTTTTTTTGTTTTTTGATCGTTTTGTTTTTGAACAATCAGAGAGTGTTGGAACAACTGAAGACGTGGCTGGAATTGCTGCCAGAACTTTCTGAAGCGCCATTGTAATAGCTGTAAGTAATTTATAATTTCAATATTACTAATAAGATGAATATTTTTAAATGAAAATGTTTATCGAGACGTAAGTTATAAAACAACCAACCTTCTGATAACTCATGTTTTGTTACAAATTCAGATCCACCAGGTCTGACATTTTTCTCTTTAATTATTAGAAGATCTTCATCATCATTTTGATCGCCAGAAAAAACTTTTGAGCCAGAACCCTCTGCTTTGTCATCATCAAAAATGTCAATGTTCTCATTACCCTGTAATAAATATAATAGTTATAGTTTTTTCAATTATTGTAATAGAATACTATTTGTTAATTATCGTTTGTAAAACTTACATCGTTGCCGCCCAATAATTTTTTACGTTTAACCTCTGGGCTGAAGTCAATCTCTGGATCCATCACTGGCTGAAAAAATATATACACATTTTAAGTTATTGTAAAATAATTCTAATTTACTTTTCAACACAACTATTTTAAGATATTGCTATTTGAATATTGTTTAATTTATTTTACCACTTCTGACTCATCAATTTTTGGGCCATCTTTAATTATAAAATAATCATTTTGACCAGGTCCCTTGTCATCAGTTATCTCAAGAGACATCCGTCTGGGAGACTCAATACCATCGATGGCTTTCATTTTTTTCTTCAAGTTTGCAAGGGATCCTATAAAAATACAAGAGATAGGGAGATAGATAATATAAATTTATATATAAAATTTTCTTTTATTATTTTAATATTTAATTATTACCTGAGACTGCAATTATTTGTGCACTAAAGCAAATCCACCCACCCAGTGGTTCCTTCTTTGACTCGTGCCACTCAACGACATAAATTTTATCAGGATCTTCATCATCACTGTTAAATTTATCATAGTCAAAATTTTTAATGTGTTCAACGTCTATACCAACGGTATATTTTTTATCATCGTCTCCGCCAATCCATTTCACCAGCGCAAACATTTTTTTACTGAAATTTTACAAAAGTATTAGAATCATTATTAATTATTAACAATTTATGTCATACTTGTCTTATTTTTCAATTAATTTTAATCAACATAAAAATAAAATAATATTCTCAAAGATAAATTCATAAACATAACCTCTTCCTCAATTTTTTATTATACATTCTGAGAAATATTATCTACATGAATAAAAACTATTCAAAAATGTTCAACTTACCTCCCGATCTTTACAATAATCTTTTTATTATTTATATAAATAACACTTTTAATAATTTTGTTATATTACCTGACGAAACTATTTACTCTCGTGACAAACATAAAAATGGCGTCCCTTCTATGACTCAGAATAACCACTGTGAATGTGATTTAGGCGGTAACTATGTATTTATTTTTTTTTTATAATTTTACTCTATTTTAATAGACAATTTTTTTTTGTTATTTCTTTCAATATACTAATAATCAAATGACACTTTGTAAAGTTATTCAGTCATTATCAATACATGTTATTTACTTAATTTCATAAACGTCTACAGCTCAGTTGGCCATACTTATTTTAGAGGGCGTTAAGTTACATTTTCCGGTTATAATTTGAATTAGAATTTTTTTACTCAAAAATTTACATTTTATTGTATTAATTTAAAATATATCATTAATTCAACTGCATTATTATATAAATTTTTATTTCTGATTACATAAAATCATATAGTAAGTAATTCTTTCAATAATCATTTTATATCATAAAAATGGACGCGTTTGTTCAAGTTAACATTTCAAACTTATTTGGGTGCTTACAAATTACAGAGATTACATCATTTTTGAATTGTAACACTGTCACTTTCTGCTCGATATTTTGTGCTTCAATAACTGCTAAATCATTTTGATGATTAGCAAAGTACATGTGTTCGAGTTTAACATTTTGAAACCAAAAATTGCGCTGTTTCATGAAATATTTTCCGAAAGCAAAACATTTAGTCTCTTGCTGTACATTGGCAACCAAAAATGTTTCTATTTCAAAAATTTCACTGTCATTCAGTAGTACTGTATAACTATTTCTTTTATATGCTTTGGTATATTGTTTACTGTGTATTATTTCCTTATTTAGGCTTACACGTTTATAGTATTCAATGGCACTGTCTCTATTGATAGTGTCATTTCTCCTCTGTAATGCAAAATAATTCTCGGCACACAATTCTTTCGCTGAAACTGATTTTCCTAATAAACCTACACGGTTGACATAGATTGAGATTTTCGGAATTTTTTGTTTATTTGTTAACTCTTGTAATAATTTTAGTTGACGAAACGTTAAATGATCTTCGTACAAGTCCTGCAGTTTGAAAAGAGCCATTTGAGAACGGAATGCTTCTAATATTTGTAAATCAGCTGAATTAGAACTCTTTACCAATTTTTTAAGAAATTGATGAAAATTCTCATAGCAGAAAGCACTATGTGTCCAAAGTGGGCCCCATTTTAATACACTCTTCGGTAAATGAGTTAGCAAATGGAGATTAAACGATAAATGCTCTTTGCCATATAGTTTTTCTACATCCTTAACGAATTGAAATAAATACCGTTGAGCATTGTAAACATCACTTTCCATAATTGCTGTTTTTAGTAGAATTGAAATACCTTCTACTAATAGACTCCAGTGCTGAACAAATTTATTTGGTAAGAACCGTCTCAAAATTGGCAGACTGTAGAATAATAACCATATAACCAATTCATGAGCTTTTAAATGAAGTCTATCTTTTGACATTTTTCTAGGAGTCCGAGAAATATCCATGGATGGTTTAAAAAATAAAAGCATCTCATCAATTGACGGAAGGTGCTGACCTAAGTAGAATTCTTTGTCATGATAACTAGTATCGAACCATAATTTTAAAAATTGCCTACAAACTCCCAATGCAACACAGTGCATCCAATCAGGAACTAAGTTGTCAATAATATCAAAATTTGGTATATCACATAAAGTTGAACGATACTTCATACCTTTGTCGTAGCTGTTAATATGGTTAAGTGTTTCTGTATGACTGCGCAATCCTTCGCCATAGGGATTACCTTCAGCATTTATCGGATATACTCTCACAGATCCATTGCCCTTCGCTATCTCTTCACCTGGATGCTTACACAAACCACATCCATATTGTCCACGAAAACTTTTTGATCCTCTAAGTTCAGGGCGTTCCACAGAATCACAGATGCCGAGCAAAAGTTGACATTTTTTATGGTATATTATTTCGTTAGAATTATAATCGAATCCTTCATTGAATAACGACTTGCATTCTGCAACAAAAGGCTTCAAATACTCATTCATGATCGGCTTGGTGGAACCTAAAACTACGCTAGTTAAAAAAATTTGATGTTTGCGTTGTTGTGGATGAAGTTCATTTATTGTACACAAAATTGGCGTTATTGAAGTCACAGATCTTTTAAACAAAGGTGTTCCGTCTATACTAAAATTGATACTGATCATATCCTCTGGTGAATCGTTTGGAAGACTTTTTTTGTACGAAATTCCATCAAAAATATCCTCAATCGCATAAAAGCTTTTTTTTTCACGATTTTTAACATAAGATAAATCTTCATGATGACGTTGACAAAAATCTTTTAATTGTGCCGTTAAAGGCAAGTACAAAAAGATGTTACCTGCTCGCCTATTATCTTTAACATTGACATCGACATTGCATTCAGGGCAATGTAAAACCTGTGTGTCATTATCTGTACCTTCAATAATATCATCATTTACTACCTGTGACTCTTTGCCGATATAAATTCGACAGCTAGGACAAAAATGATGAATCTGCAATGGTATTGTGTGCTCGTTAATAATTTTTTTGAAATGATACGTAGACGTATAATTTAAAGGCACATCAAGAACTGAATCAATTAATTTGTTAATCATAAAAATTGATTCATTATCTAAATTTTTACGTAATTTAGCTGCCAGAACTAATAATGTTCTTAATAGTACTCGGATAGGATATTTATCATTTTCTTCTTGATCCTGAGGTTCTGTCATGCAAGAACTATTGTCTTCTTCACCATTATCATCTTGACAGACTGGTATATTTCCTAGATCCATATTTTCTTGGTGAATTATTGGTTCCTCTGCATCTTCGTAGTCATCGTCATCTTGATCGAAATCAGTTTGTTCTTCACTACTATCGCAATAATAATAATGCTCTTCATCGACAACATTTTCCTAGAAACAAAAAAATTGTTGATTTTTTATTCTGATATTTAGTTACATCATCAGACTGCTTTATCAATCAAACCTCATTCTCAAATGTCACGTTTGGTGGGCAATTATAATTGACAGATTCTTCCAAACAAATATTTTCATCAATGCCAACAGAAGAATCGGAGTCATCAGAGTTGTCGACATTTGTTTCAGTGCCATAGTCCAAGACTGGTTCAACTTGCTATTGGAAAACAACAAAAAATGCATTATTTAATTTTGATTTGAATCTTTTATAGATTGAAAGTTGAATACTCATACTTACCTCAAAAAAAGTATTTTCATTCGATTCGTCTCCATTGTTTGCAATCGCGCTACATTGAAAAAAATAAATTAGAGTCATTAATTGTTGTCAATAAATGTAAATCGAGATATACCTTTCAGGAAGACTTTGTTGTTTCGTTTTTGCATTCCAGTCAGAAAGTGTTCGCTTAGGGATGGGACAGTCACTATCATGCTGTAAATATCTTTTATAAGGCCCACGTTTTTTTTTTTCAGACATAGTCTATGTAGATTTAAAAAATTTATGCAAAAAAACTCAAGTCAATCGCTGTCACTAATGAAATAACTAATCGGTAGAAACTAAAAATAAAAACACTTATCACTGGAAATTCACAGGTTAACTAGAAGCCGTGGTTAACTTTAGAAAACAGAAGTATGGGTAGGTGCGGCTAACAGATGTCAAGGTTAGGCTCTCACATAAATATAACCAAGCACTCAATAATGTTAACTTGAACAAACGCGTCCATTTTTATGATATAAAATGATTATTGAAAGAATTACTTACTATATGATTTTATGTAATCAGAAATAAAAATTTATATAATAATGCAGTTGAATTAATGATATATTTTAAATTAATACAATAAAATGTAAATTTTTGAGTAAAAAAATTCTAATTCAAATTATAACCGGAAAATGTAACTTAACGCCCTCTAAAATAAGTATGGCCAACTGAGCTGTAGACGTTTATGAAATTAAGTAAATAACATGTATTGATAATGACTGAATAACTTTACAAAGTGTCATTTGATTATTAGTATATTGAAAGAAATAACAAAAAAAAAATTGTCTATTAAAATAGAGTAAAATTATAAAAAAAAAATAAATACATAGTTACCGCCTAAATCACATTCACAGTGGTTATTCTGAGTCATAGAAGGGACGCCATTTTTATGTTTGTCACGAGAGTAAATAGTTTCGTCAGGTAATATAACAAAATTATTAAAAGTGTTATTTATATAAATAATAAAAAGATTATTGTAAAGATCGGGAGGTAAGTTGAACATTTTTGAATAGTTTTTATTCATGTAGATAATATTTCTCAGAATGTATAATAAAAAATTGAGGAAGAGGTTATGTTTATGAATTTATCTTTGAGAATATTATTTTATTTTTATGTTGATTAAAATTAATTGAAAAATAAGACAAGTATGACATAAATTGTTAATAATTAATAATGATTCTAATACTTTTGTAAAATTTCAGTAAAAAAATGTTTGCGCTGGTGAAATGGATTGGCGGAGACGATGATAAAAAATATACCGTTGGTATAGACGTTGAACACATTAAAAATTTTGACTATGATAAATTTAACAGTGATGATGAAGATCCTGATAAAATTTATGTCGTTGAGTGGCACGAGTCAAAGAAGGAACCACTGGGTGGGTGGATTTGCTTTAGTGCACAAATAATTGCAGTCTCAGGTAATAATTAAATATTAAAATAATAAAAGAAAATTTTATATATAAATTTATATTATCTATCTCCCTATCTCTTGTATTTTTATAGGATCCCTTGCAAACTTGAAGAAAAAAATGAAAGCCATCGATGGTATTGAGTCTCCCAGACGGATGTCTCTTGAGATAACTGATGACAAGGGACCTGGTCAAAATGATTATTTTATAATTAAAGATGGCCCAAAAATTGATGAGTCAGAAGTGGTAAAATAAATTAAACAATATTCAAATAGCAATATCTTAAAATAGTTGTGTTGAAAAGTAAATTAGAATTATTTTACAATAACTTAAAATGTGTATATATTTTTTCAGCCAGTGATGGATCCAGAGATTGACTTCAGCCCAGAGGTTAAACGTAAAAAATTATTGGGCGGCAACGATGTAAGTTTTACAAACGATAATTAACAAATAGTATTCTATTACAATAATTGAAAAAACTATAACTATTATATTTATTACAGGGTAATGAGAACATTGACATTTTTGATGATGACAAAGCAGAGGGTTCTGGCTCAAAAGTTTTTTCTGGCGATCAAAATGATGATGAAGATCTTCTAATAATTAAAGAGAAAAATGTCAGACCTGGTGGATCTGAATTTGTAACAAAACATGAGTTATCAGAAGGTTGGTTGTTTTATAACTTACGTCTCGATAAACATTTTCATTTAAAAATATTCATCTTATTAGTAATATTGAAATTATAAATTACTTACAGCTATTACAATGGCGCTTCAGAAAGTTCTGGCAGCAATTCCAGCCACGTCTTCAGTTGTTCCAACACTCTCTGATTGTTCAAAAACAAAACGATCAAAAAACAAAAAAAATAACATGGTAAATAACTATTACTTAAAATTTGTATTGCCAGGCGTTCATTCAAATACTTAATCAACCTAAAAATATTAATTTGATCTAAGTTTCTAATTATAATTATTAATTATTTAAAGGTCACTAAAAAAAAATTATCATAAAAAGATTTATAATTATTTCACTTTTTTTAATTATAGATTGAATTAGGTCAACCTGGGAGTAATGTTTTCGTTACCTCTGACCAATGGATAGCTGCTGAAGCGACTAAATCATTTACAGCTATGACTACTTCATTATTGGTTTCGGTATTTCCTACAGATCAGTTGATTAAAAGCAACTACAAAGGTGGACCACCCAAAAATGCAATAGATAAGACCGTTATACACACTGGACTGGAGAATACTAATGAATTAAAAGCAATTAAAGGTATGATAACTTACATTTCTTAAAAATATAATTTTTAATTGGTTTTTGATAGTGTATTTTTTGTCTTAATTTTATACAATACAAAATTGAAAACAATAATATAATTTGATACTTTCAGAAGCAGTCCAGCAACGATTTAAAAAACAATTTAATCAGGCTGAGTTTGGTAAATGCATTAACGTAAAATGCAACAAATTACGGTCAGAAGCATTAAAGGTAATAATAACAATACAAAAATTACAATAATTTACTTACTTCGAGTGCATAAAAATTAAAATATATTTTACATTACAGAAGAAGCCTAAAACTGAGGATCCTCCAAAAGACACCAAGGAAAATAAACCTAGTGATAGCTAAAAGATTCACAAAATCATTTAAAAGTTAATAATGATTAAAATTTTTCATTTTTTATTACAACTTACACTTTGTAATTTTACATTTTCACTTAAAGTAGTTTCATTTTTCAAATTGTTTATTTAAACAGCTTTAATGTTATACCTTACAAGTTTCTATTTTATATAAATTTCTGATTTATATTGTTATGATTATTATTTAAATAGTTTCTTAAAGTCATACAATAAAAGATTATGATTATTTAATAAAATTGGTAGAAAATAATTGTGTTTTATATCTATCCCGCGATGCCGATTGACGTGCGCATATATCCGGATATATGCGCACATATATCCAACATATATGTTATAGATATATATCTTTTGCATATATCTCACATATATATGAGCAAGCATATATACCACGCATATATGCGGAGGCGAAAAAAAGTGTATGTGACATATATGTGGACATATATCCTCAAGCATATATCCTCAGATATATCCTGACATATATATTTTTTCCGTGGGGGATTATCGATCAAGGGCTTATAAATCACGTTTCTCTATGCCCTAAAATTCTTTTATGGTTCTTAAAAATTACAGGGTATTCCCTAAGTCATTTACTGTCCCAATAAATTTTTATCAAACCTATTTAGACGTTGTATGACCTTGAAAAATTAATAAAAATAGTTAATAACCAATTTCAATTGAAATAGGCGCAAAAAATCCAGTTTCTTTATGCCCTAAAATTTTTTATGGGCCTTAAAAATCAAAGGGTACATTCTCAGTCATCTGCTATCCCTCTCAATTCTTATTTAACATATTTTAACCTTGTATGACCTTGAAAATTTAATTAAATTATGTCAAACCAAATTATTATAGATTGAGGCCCAAAAAATCAGATATCTTTATGCCCGTAAATTTTTTAATAGTTCTTGACAATTACGGAGTACCTTCTAAGACCATTTTACGTCTATTTCGATATTGATTAAACCTATTTTTATGTTGTATGACGTTAAAAAATTAATTAAAGTAGGTCAAACCTAAGTTTTATGGATTAAGGCCATGGAAATATGGTTTCTCTATGCCCTCCAATTTTTATATATTCCTTAAAAATCACAGGGTTTCTCCCAATTCATCTACTGACCCTCTGAATTTCTATTGAACCTATTTCAACCTTGTACGACCTTGAAAAATTAATTAAAGTAGCTCAAAACCGAGTACAATTGATTGATGCCGAAAAAATCAGGTTTCTTGATGCCTTCAAATTTTTTTATGGCGCTTTAAAAAATACGGGGTACCTCCAGTGTCATTTTTCATCTATCTGAATCTTTATTAAACGTATTTTGACCTTGTTTGACTATGGAAAATATAAAAAAGTAGGTAAAACACAAGTAAAATTAATTTACGTCTAAAAAATTAGGTTTTTTTTATGCCCTTAAATGTTTTTATGGTATTATGAAATTACCGGGTACCTCCTGAGTCATCTAAGGACCCTCTGAATTTTCGATGAATCTATCCTGACCTTGTGTGACCTGGAAAAATCAATAAAAGTAGGTCAAACTCAAATACAATAGATTTAAGCACAAAAATCATGTTTTTCTATGCCTTAAAAATTTTTTATGGTCTTTAAATAATACAGAGTACCTCCTGAGTCATCCTTCCTTTCTTTTTATATTTATTGAACCTATTTTGACCTTGCTTGACCTTCAAATATCAAGAAAAGTATGTCAAACTGATGGATGATGGATTTAGGCCCCAAAAAGCAGGGTTTTTCAAGCCCTGAAATTTTTTTTTGGTCTAATAAATTAACAGGGTACCTTCTGAGTTATTCTTTTTCTATCATAATTTTCATTGAGCCTATTTTTACTTTGTATGACTTTAAAAAGTTAATTTAAGTAGGTTAAACCTAAGTTTTATGGATTCAGGCCAGGAAAATATTGTTTCTCTATGCCCTTCGATTTTTTTATAGTCCTTAAAAATGAGAGGGTTCCTCCTAAGTCATCCACTGACCCTCTAAATTTTAATTGATCCTATTTTGACCTTATATGACTTTAAAAAATTAATTATAGTAGCTCAAAACCAAGTACAATTGATTGAGGCCCAAAAAATCATGTTTCTTTATGTCCTCAAATTTTTTTATTGCGCCTTAAAAAAATACAGGCTATCTTCTGTGTTATATTTCATCCCCTTAATATTCATTATACATATTTTGATATAGTGTGACTTTGAAAAATATAGAAACTTAGGTCAAACTCAAGTAAAATTGATTTAGGCCCTAAAAATCAGGTTACTTTTAGGGTTTTATAAAATTACAGGGTATCTTCTCAGTCATCCTTTGTCCACCTAAATTTTTAATGAACCCACTCTGAACTTGTATGACCTTGAAAAATCAATAAAAGTAGGTAAATCACAAGTAAAATTGATTTGGGCACAAAAAATCGGGTTTTAATTTGCCCTCAAATTTTTTTCTGGTCTTATAAACTTAATGGGTACCTCCTAGGTTATTTTCCGCCCATCTTAATTTTTGATTAACCTATTCTGACCTTGTAAGACCTTGACAAATCAATAAAAGTAGGTGAAACCCAAGTATTATCGATTAAGGCCTTATAAATCAGGTTTCTTTATGCCCTCAAATTTTCTTATGGTCGTTAAAAATTAAAGGGTACCTTTTTAGTCATCCGCTGTCCCTCTCAATTGTTATTAAACCTATTTTGACCTTGTATGACCTTGAAAATTAAATAAAAGTAGGTCAAAAATAACTACAATTGATTGATGCCCAAAAAATCTGGTTTCTTGATGCCTTAAAATTTGTTAATGGCCCTCAACAATAACAGTACAATTCATATGTTATCCTCTGTCCCTCTCGATATTTATTAAACCTATTCGGACCTTGAGAAATACAAAAAAGTAGGTCAAACAAACTCAATTAATATCGATTTAGGCCCAAAAAATCAGTTTTTTTCATGCCCTTACATTTTTTTTTGTCTTTTGAAATCTCAGGGTACCTTCTGAGTCATCTTCTGTCGCTCTGAATTTTTAATGAATCTTTTTTTACGGTGCATGACCTTCAAATATAAAGAAAAGTATGTCAAACTGAAACATAATGGACATTGGCCCAAATAATCAGGTTCCTTTATGCATTGAAATTCTTTTATGGCCCCTTAAAAATTACAGGGCATCTCTTGTGTCATTTTTTATCACTCTTAATAATCATTGAACGTATTTTGACATTATCTAAGTATGAAAAATATAAATAAGTAGGTCAAACTCAAGTAAAATTGATATAGGCCTAAAAATCTAGTTTATTCATGCCCTTAAATGTTTTTATGGTCTCATGAAAATACATGAAACCTTCTGAGTCATCCTTCGTCGCTCTTAATTTTCGATGAACATATTCTGACATTGTATGGCCTTGAAAAGTTAAGAAAAGTAGGTCAAACATAAGTATTATCGATTGAGGCCCACAAAATCAGGTTTCTTTATGCCATTAAATTTTTTTATAATCCATCACCATTACAGGGTACCTCCTGAGACTATTCTTCGTCACTCTCGACATTTATTAAACCTATTTTGACTTTGCATAACCTTAAAATATCAAGAAAAAAATTTCAAACCGACGGATAATCGATTTAGTCCCAATAATTCAAGTTTCTTTATGCCCTCAAATTTTTTTCTGGTCTTATGTAATTTCTTGGTACCTGCTGAGTTATCCTCCGTCTATCTCAATTTTCGATGAACCTATTCTGACCTTGTCAGACCATGACAAATCGATAAAAGTAGATCAAACCGGTTTTATCAATTAAGGCCTTAAAAATCAGATTTCGTTATGCCCTAAAATTAATTTATGGTTCTTAATAATTACAGGGTTTCTCCTAAGTCATCTTCTGTCACTTTCAATTTTTATTAAATCTATTTTGACGTTGTCCTTAAAAATTAAAGGCTACCCCATAAGTCATTCACTGTCCCTATAAATTTTCATTAAACTTATTTTCATCTTGTATGACGGTAAAAAATCAATCAAAGTAGGTCAAACCTAACTTTTATAGATTAAGGCCAAGATAATATGGTTTCTCTATGCCCTTCAATTTTTTTATAGTCCTTAAAAATCACAGGGTTCCTCCCAAGTCATATACTGACCCTCTGAATTTTTATAAATCTTATTTTGACGTTGTATGAACTTGAAAGATTAATAAACCTCGTTCAAAACCAAGTACAATTGATTTAGGCCAAAACAATCCAGTTTTATTATGCCCTAAAATTTTTTATCGGCTTTAAAAATGAAAGGGTACCTTCTTAGTTATCCGTTGTCCGTCTTAATTGTTATTGAACCTATTTTGACCTTGAAAATTTGATAAAAGTAGGTAAAAAATAACTACAATTGATTGATGCCAAAAAAATCTCGTTTCTTGATGATTTAAAATTTGTTAATGGCCCTCTACCGTTACAGTACAATTTCTGTGTCATTCTCTGTCCCTCTCGATACTTATTGAACCTATTCGGACCTAGAGAAATATAAATAAGTAGGTCAAATTCAAGTAAAATTGATTTAGGAAGAAAAAAGCAGTTTTTTTCATGCCCTTAAATTTTTTTTCGGTCTTTTAAAATGGCTGAGTACCTCCTGAGTCATCTTTTGTCACTCTGAATTTTTAATAAACCTTTTTTGACGATGCATGACCCAAAATATAAGAAATTATGTCAAACTGAAAGATAATGGATATAGGCCCAATTAATCAGGTATCTATAAGCCGTGAAAAATTTTATGGTCTAATAATATCACAGAGTAACTCCTGAATTATTCTCTTTTCTTCTTTAAATTTATGAAGCCTATTTTTATCTTGTTTAGCCTTGAAAAATTGATGAAAGTTGGACAAAACTAAGTTTTATGTATTAAGGCCAACATTATATGGTTTCTCTATGCACTTTAATATTATATAATCCTCGAAAATGACAGCGTTCCTCCTAAGTCATTTACTGACCCTCTAAATTTTTATCAAACCTATTTTGACCTTGTAAAACCTT